GCCTCCAGACGTAGGGGGGCTGCAGACATTCAAGGCTGCCACCTCCCCCCTCGGGGCAGGCTCTCCCCCAGCCTCCTGTGGCCTCCCTGTACTTCAGAGTACAGGCTGTGTGCCCAAGCAGCAAGCAGGGGGGTGAAAAGCAAACCCACTTTCAAAAAGTACAGGCCAGGAGCCAACTGGTCTCCTTGCCCTCAAGATCAAGACAAAGTTGCATTGAAGCCCAGGGCGAGGTCGGGTAGGGGTGGAGGGACTTAGGCCCCTTGATCCCCCAGCAATCAGATTCTGCGTCCTGTACTCCCATCAGCCAGGCCCTGCTTAGCCCCTGCAGCGTTCTCCACTAAGGTAGAGAGGGGGCACCTCCCCCACCTCCTCTCTCCCCTCTAGCCTCTGCTCTTTCCCATTCTTTCCTCTCACTATCTCTGGAGCTCAAAGCATTTTGTTGGATTCCATAGAGTCATTCCACTTCTCCCGGAACTTACCCTTCCACTCCCCAAACCATCGGAGGGCCGCTTTATTTTGGAGGTGAACAAAACCCACCTTATGAGGCACGTGGCAGACTTTCTTCCTCCTTTGTTCTGGTTAGGATACCTGAGACAAGCCATTTCAACAGAGATTTCACTGAACATCAGGGCTGAAAAAGTAAACCAAGAAAATTCTCGGTGTGGGAGACCTGGGCTTCTGGTCCCCAGTTCCTGGCCCACCTCTGCCTAAGAGGTGCCATCCTACCTCCAGGAAAGAGAAGCCCTTGCTCCACCCTTGACCCTTGCCGTGTCAGGCTGCCCCCACCCAGGTGACTAGTGGGACTGCCTTGATGGTCATAGGAAGTGACCTTACCCCTCAGTTCATCCTACCCCTTCATTCGGGGAGGAGCAATTAAAAAAAGGAGGAGAGAAAGAGGGAGAGGAGAAGGGGAAGAGAAAGGGAAAGAGAGAGAGGAAGAAAGGAGGCAGGGGAGGAGAGACGCTTCTTAAATTCTCAGTGCCAATGGCCTTGCACAGGCAGAGAGCACAAACAAGGTGATTGCATGGGTCTTCCTCACGTCTCCTCCTCTCTATCCAGCTGCTGCCTGGGAGCCAGGACCCATATGAACATTTTGGCTGCTGGCCTGGCAGGACCCTACCTCTGGGAATGCTCTGCCCCAAGGGCCCTGGGCTTCCTGGGAGGAAGGAAGATGAGATTGGTTCATGGGCAGACTGCCCTTGGGAGAAGTTGTGAGGCCAAAATGATGCTAAATCTCCTCCAAGCCTCAGTCTCCCGAGTCCTCTAGTAAGGTTATTGAGGAGGGGCTTTCTGGGGATCCATCCCTCCCACCCACTCATCCATCCATCATCCATCCACCCATCCCTCCATCCTTCCCTTTTATCCATCTGTCCATCCATCATCCATCCATCGTCATCTATCCATCCACCATCTATCCATCCATCAGCCTTCCCTCCTATCCATCCATCCCTCCCTTCCATCCATTCATCCATCCATCCATCTTTCCATCCATCCATCCATCCGTCCCTCTCTTCTACCCCTCCCTTGCATCCATCCATCCATCCATCTTCTCATTTCCACAAACATTTTTGGAGTACCACTTCTGAGTAAAGCAGGCACTGCACTGGACAGTGGGAAAACAGATGAATTCAAGAGACTCTCTGCTTCACAAGTAATTCATGCTTCATTTAATTCATGAAGGTGCAAGGGAATTGATTTATGGGTGGGGGGAGAGAGTGATACTTAAGAGAGCCACAGACCTGGATGCAGACCCCAGCTCCCCTACTTACTAGCTGAGCTCCCTGGGTCCATTTCTGACAGTCTCTGAGCCTTAGCTTCCTTATTAGTAGGAAAGAAATGTTACCACTTGTCTCATTCATGGGGTGGCTGTCAAGACCCACAGATGAGCTCATAGCTGTAAAGCACCGAGCTGGGTGACTGGTGCGTTGCGGGGGCTCGGTACATTCTTTTCACCTCCCCCAGGGGGTAGGGTTGCTAGGTAAAATACAGAATGCCCAGTTAAATTTGAATTTCTGTTAAACAGAGTAAATTTTTAGTGTCAGTATGTCCCAAATTTGGGGCATCCTCTATGTGTATTTGCTAATGGCAACTCTACCGTGGAGCTGTGTGCTGCCCATTTGGAACTGCCAGCCTAGAGCCAGGAACACCTCCAGAGGGCTCTATAACTCCCCAGGTGTCCCAGAGACACCACTAACCTTTAACTTTCTAATGCACTTGAACTAAAGTGTTAAGGACACCTACCCCACCCTGAACTTTGTAGGTGGGAGTGGGTAAAACACATGTACTCAACTGATTCAGTCCTTCAGCCCGTCCATACTGAGACAGGTGAACAGAAGCACAAAGAACCTCTCTTCTTGGTGCTCACGTTCTGGGAAGGGGATGCAGATGAGGACCGTGTGGGTAAAGCACCCGCAGTCACACCCTGGGATAAATGCTCTGAGACGGAGAGTGAGGGGTGGGGTGTAGCCAGGTTGAGTTTGATTCAGAGTCATGGCCTAGCCAAACCACACACCTCTTCCCCCACCCAATGCTCGATCTGTCTGTCTGCTTCCTCCCTCCATTCCCCAGTCCCCACCCCACCTCCCTCAGGCCCTTCAGACTCCTCAGGCCCCAGAAATCTGCACTCTCCTTTTTGGTCTCTGGAAAACTGCTACAGCTTCTCTGATTTTTTTCCCCTGGAGCCCACTGAGGAATGCCCGGCTTCTTCGGGGAAGGCACATCCAGTGATCTTTGATGCCTAGCAGAGTCATGAACATCTACCCGTAGGGCTCCTTAATTCATATACAGAGTTATTTAGAAGCACATATTTGCAAAGAGGAATGCGTGGGACTGTTGTCTCATACAAATTGCAGGATGGCCTTCCCATGGGCCGAAGCTAGCATTTCCCATCCCAGTTATTGGCGTTTGAACTTTCCCTATCAAGTGAGTTCACTAATGAGGGTAGGGGGACTGATGTTATCCAGGCCAAGTGCTCTCATGGCCACAGGGACGTGTGGAGGAAGGAGCACCGGAGCAGGGGTGTAGGGAGGGGAGCCAGCTAAGCACAAATAGACCAGATCTTGGCAGGGAGGGGGAGGGTCAAGGGACATCGGCCTTGGGGTCTGGATGTGAGCTGTAAACAAGGTGCTTCCCTCCACCTCTGTCTCCTAATGGAACTGCCTTCCCAGTGTCCCCTGTATCCTGTGGGCTGCTTACTCGAGAAGGCTGCAGTGGGGGGATCTCACCTCCTCTCTCACACTGGCCTGGGGAGGGAGGTGTGGATCTGGTGGGGCTGCCCAAGTGGGTTGCGAGACTCACTCCCCCTTCCCCCTTGGAAACAGGACGATGGCAGCTCTCTTACGCAGAGAGGTCAGAGAGTAGAAAACGGACCGCTGCTTTGGGGGAGGAAGGTATTCTGGGATTGCCCCTCGGGACAGCCGAGGACTTAGGGAGCAAAGCATGTGCATCCTCAGCCTATAACTGGGGGCTGGGGTGTGCGGTGGAGACAGAGAACCGAGAAGGAGCAAAGGCCGAGCTAGGAGAACTATCTGAGAAGAGCCAAGGGCGAGACTAGGGCACACCGATTTGATTCAGAGCACCGAATACAAGATTAAAAATAAGGAACAGCCCCACCTTTGGGGAAAGTACGTTCTCCACCGTCACTGCAGGAACTTGGCGGCCCTGAAGGCTGGCCAGGGGCCTTCCCCAGGGACTGTGAGGCCCGAGTTCAGCAATGACAGATTCTTGCTCCAAGGGTGGACTGGGGGTGTTGGGACAGAGAGGGAAAAGTCCAGAAAGGGGTTCTGTTTCTGAGGGACTTTTAGGAAGAGGCCCTCAGGAGGAACAAGAAACTGAAATTCATGGTGGTCCTGTGTCATTTCTGCAGGCGCCCTCCTGAAAGAGGACACGGTGCCAAGCTATGTTTTCTAGGTGACCTTAAGCAATAGGTTTGGACAGTAGGCCCCCCACCTGACCCCGGTTTTGCAGCTCTGGGGGTTCCCATTTATCGAGAGTCTCATGGTGGGCCAATAAGTAGGCATCAGGGGGTTACAAGTTGGGAGCAGGTGTGTGCTGCTTTATACCTTTGTTCCCCCAAATGGTTGAATACAGCACCCAAGCGCACACAAGACGTCAGGGTGGAAACACGTGAGTGAAGGAAGTGGGCCAAAGGCAAAACCAGAGAAGATGTGATGGAGTCAGGGGTGCATTCAGTGTTGGGGACCTCTGCTGGAAGGGGCCCATGCACTTAACCCTGAGCAGCCTGGGATCCACTACCCATCGGGGAACGGGTCGGGTCAGGAGTTGCATAGTGTCTGTGGGCTCAAAACAAGCCATTGTTCTCAGGGCCACCCAGAGAGCCATGTGACTTGTCTGCATGCAGAGGATGGACACGTGCGCTCCTGGAAAATACCCTTCAAGATTCCGCAGCTGCTTCCATGTGATGCTGGTGCGGCCCCCGAACTGGGCAGTATGAGCAGGTGTGGTGCGGCCCCCGTGGGCTCGGCCACTCCCTCTCCTCCCCGTGCTGCGGGGTAGGCCCAGGGGCAGGGGGTCCTGCCGTCGGGGGGCCCAGCTGAGTGTAGCTCAGCGAAGGATGAGGCCCCCCAGGGCTCCTCGCCTCCAGTCTGTATCTATTTGGCTCCCACGCACGTTGCTTGATGCGTGTTTTCGGCTTGCCACTGCTTTCGTGCTGTTCTGAGGAACGTCCACCTTCCGCTCCTGCCGCCGGCCACTTCAGGGTCTCCTTTCTCCGTTCCAAATGCCCAAGAGAAAGATCCAGTGTGTCCCGTTCATCTTTTTCAGCGAGGCCACTCGGCCACCTTCAGCCAATAGATGGGTGTCTTTGGAGCAGGTGCTCTGTGGTGCGAGTGGTTGGAGTTGTGGGGCGGACAGCATCCAGGCCGGGCTGTGGAGGGCCCGTGCCCCTCAGCCGGGGCCGGAAGCCTGTCTGGTACGCAAGACGTGGGCCTCCAGGGGCTGGGCGCCCTTCGCTAACCCACATTTGCTTTGGGCACTTGCAGGGTAGGCGTGGATTCCCCGCTGCCCCCACCCTCCCCCGGGCCAGCGCTCCCCCGCGTCCACACAATGGGACTGTGAAGGCAGACACTTCTGGGGGCGCCGGAGCAGCTTGCATTCTGGAGGATGGGTGACGACAGACTCTCTGAACACCCCAAGCCCATGGAATTTCTCAACCTCCATTTGGGAGACAACCTGCAGCCCGGCCCAGGAGCACACCTGAGGGAAACGTGCAGCCTTCCTGACCCTCCCGAACCTCGTGGGGAACAGACCTGGGCCTCTGAGCCTCCTGAGAGGCCAGATGCTCTCCCCTCTTCCCAGGGGGAGCCCAGGCACAAAGCGGCGCCCCCCGGGTCACCCGGAAACAGCCATCCTCTGGGGAACCCGAGGCAGGGCCAGAGCACGTCCGCCCAGGTGGTGTTCTGGGCAGGCATCCTGCAGGCCCAGATGTGTGTCCTGGACCTGGAGGAGGAGCTGGAGAAGACAGAGGGGCTCAGGGCTGAGCTGAGGTGCTGTCTCCCTGCGGCCCCCGTGGAGCTCCCCCCTTTCCCCTCGAGCCCCGCAGGCCCCCGGAGCTCAGGCCTCCACCCCAGCTCACCGGTGGAGGCGGCCCAGCGGGGAGACAGCAGTGGCCCTGAGGCGGAGAACCAGCACTGTGTGTGGCCCAGGGAGGGAGGGACAGACTCCTCCCCGGAGTGGGGTGCTGAGGAGGAGAGTGTATTCTTCGACAATCCCCTCTTTTTGGAGAGCCCTCGCTCGGACACGAGTGCTTCTGGAGCTCGTTTTTCCTGGGGGCTCTCAGACTCCCATGAGCCCCAGTGTCCGCAGATCCTGGAGCCTCCACTCCCAGGAGGGGGAGTGCTGTGGGAACTGGCCAGCGAGCCGGGTTTAGGGGATGGCACAGCTGATTACAGCGGACGCACCACGCCTTCATTCCCTGTGCCCACCTACAAACCTCACTCCTTCTCGTGGACTGTGGAGGATGAGGCCACCAAGGGGACCCCTGAAGCACCTCCGGACTCGGGGGAGAGTGAGGTAAGCCGAGCCCTGGGGACCAACCCACGGCGGTGCAGAGGGACATAGAAGGAAAGGCCTTTCTCTGTGGTCACCGGGCCCAGAACACTCTTTTTAGATGCTAGGGCCTTTTGGAATCCTGAAGTAGTATAGCAGAAAAGCAGGCCCAGTGTGGCCTTCAGAATTACAGGACACGGTACAAATGCCATGATGTCAACAGAACATGATGGCCAGTAAGTCCACAAATGTCTCCATCTCACCAGCTCCAGAGAGGCTGTGTCTGGACACCTTTGGAGAACAAACAGCTCCTCCAATTGCAGGGTGTTCCAGGCCATTCTTAGACTCTACCCCTCCCACCTCCAGGACATTCCCAACCGTAACAGGGCAGCGTTCAGCCTGCAAGATGACCTCTGCCCCAAGCAGGGAGATAGCTGTTTTAAGAGTCTGGTCTCTTGAGAGATTTCAGCATTTGGTTACTTTGAGTTCACCGTCTTTCATTCCCACCCAGGCACCTCCCTCCCCAGGGTCGATAGATCGGGTCGCATGACAATGGCAGAGGTCCTTGATAGCAACTAGGACAAGCTCTGGGGACAAGTGACAGGAGACCGTAGGGAGCACAGTTTTCCCAGGGAGCCCTCTGCTCAAGAGATAAGGAAACTCAAGATGGCAGAGCGGGGCTGTAGCTTTCTAATCTCTCGGGTCCCAAAGAACAATGCAGAAGTGCCATTAACCAGACAGCTCTCCCACCTGACCCCAAGATCACAGGAGCTGCTAGGTACTGTTGGAGATCCCTGACCCGAAGGCTGGGGCGTCCAGTGCGGGGCGTTGTGGCTCTGTCCCGTGAGAGTGCATTCTCGCGACCTTGTTGCTCTAGGGCCCTTGGGGTCCTCAGAGGGAAGCCTGGGAGCCCCATCCTCACAGCAGGTGGCATCTGCTCCCATCCCAGTGCCTGGGCGCTGTCACCCTCCCTATAATACAGCCTGTCCTTGGGCTGGTACTGCAGACCACGGAGGGAGGAGGACGGGGGCAGAGAAGACTAGAAGTCCGTGAGCATGGATGAGGGACTCTGGAGGCCTTGCGGGGTGCATTAAAGGCCCTAAGAACAGTTTCCCTCAGGTCAAACCTCTTGCCTCTCCTTCTCTCTCAGACTTCTCTGGCAGACAGTCTTGACCCTGCCCCACCTGCTGCATCCTGTGTGGACAAAGCATTGGCCTGGGAAACAGGACAAGTCGGATCTGATCCCAGCTCTGCCGTACGTCCTGTGCAACCTTGGGCAAGTTACTTACCCTCTCTCGGCACCCCCTTCCCCATCTGTATGGGGGAACGTGAGCCCTGGTGATTCTCGATTTTCGGGGCGGGCATCAGCACCCCTAGGATGCAGGTCTTCTCTCATCCAGGATTCCTCCTCTGAACTGAGGGCCCAGACTCGACTGGGGCCCTACTGTCTGGGTGGGAAGAGAGCAGGGAGGGAGGGGCCCTGGATACTCAAAGTCATTCTCCCCCCCCTCCCCCTCCCCCCTCTCGGTGCCTCCAGGGCTCATGGAAATCCTGTGCCTCTCTCAACAGGCCCTGCCCGGCCCAGAAGGCTGGCAGACAGAAGAGGGTCCTTCCTGGCCCCAGGTGCCTCTGATCTCCCAGGACCGAGGTGAGATCTGTTATGGGCTCTGGGAAGTTGGGTGTGGGAGGCTTTGGATCTGGGTGGGGACAAAGATCTCCTTGGATCCATAGATATCATTAAGAAGTCCCATTGTATGGGGTTGAAACCAGAGCAGGGGTGAAATCCTGCTTCTCCTTCTGTGACTGCATTCATACAATGGGTTTTAAAAATGCTCATTTCATAGAATTAATGAAGAAATGTGCCAAAGACCCAGCATTTCTGATGCCTGGGTCTTAGGGGTTTAGGAAGTCCTGAGCCCCAGGGTTGCCTGGAGACGGGAGTCCTGGGAGCCCTCTGCCTGCTGCCTCTGCATGTGGGAGGTCCCCGCCGCCACCGCCTGCTGGAGGAGGGACAGAACGCGCTGCCCAGCTCCAGGGGGAGGAGCCCCAGGGAGGGAGCCTGTGGAGGTGGCAGCCCAGGCGGTTTTCCCCTTGGCCCTCAGCCTGCTGCTCGCCCCATGTCAGCTTCCCTCCATGCTCTTCCTCAGGTGACAGTGATGCTGAGTGTCCCCAAGAGTCTGCTCTGCGCATCTTGGCTCCTGGCCCCTGGGGGAGCCCAGCCTCATCGCCAGAACCTAGCAGCCCCGAGTCTGAGAACAGAGGCCCCGGCCCCAGGCCCAGCCCCGTGTCCTCCCGGGAAGGCAGCCCAAAGCCCCGGGGCCCCCACTGGGACAGCAGTCTTCCTGAGCGGACACTAGATGCTTCACGCCCTTCACTCTTGGAGACAGGTGGGGCAGAGCCACGTTTCCTGGAGAAAGAGGAGGCAGGAGAGGCCCCACAGCCAGGGGAGGAAGTAAGGAGTGAAGGCCCAGCCAGGACTCCAGAGGCTGGAGCCGTCCAGCCTGGTGCTCGCTTGACCTCTGCAGAAGGGTAAGTGTTCGACTAACCAGCTCTCTGGCTTCTAACTGTGGATACATTTATGAATACCCTGGTCTGGATGGAGCATGAGAAATGCCCATTGGGATTTAACATACTAACATCTATTAAGCCAGGATTCTATGACTGGGTGTCAGCAGTTTTGAGCAATACTGGAGGGTTTGAAAGCACGCGAAACCCCAAAGCAGACAGACACATGGGGCAGGATTTGCGTGTGCTGAGGCAATGGACCAAGAGCCTGGACACCAGGAGAGGGGTGGGAGGCGTTCAGCGGACCTGACCAGGGCCATGTGCCCAGAACAACGGGAATCATGCTAGGCAGGGCGGGGAGTGGGAAGGTCAGAGCTTGTGATGTTGCTTGTCACATTGCTTTGACCTTGGGGAGGTGCCTGGGAGAAATCCATCAGTGAACCTTAGGCCAAGGGTATGGCTCAGATCTCAGGGGAAGCCAGAACCCCAAGGGGAAGTTTGACTGGAACCAAGGAAGTGGATCTTGGGGCCCATAGCAGGATCGATTAACCCCAGAACTGTGGTCAGAGGCAGGAATAGGACCACTGGGAAACCGACCTAGATGTCTGCCTGCCTCCGGAAACTGCAGGGGGCTGTCAGTGCGTGGGGCCTCCACCCAGGAAAGGGGTTTTGTTCTCTGGCTGGCCGAGGAGGGGACATCCTGAAGAGGCCGGGAGGAACCAGTGATGGTTTGGGTTGCACTAACTTGAGGGTCGCCCCCCCCCCCATGTCAGTGTCACTGGGTGATGGGGCCAGAACCTCAGGCAGTGTGTCTCTTTCATGCATCTGGAAAACTATACAACCTCTGGAGGTGTTGGGAGGCTTGGGAATCAGGGGAGTCTTTCAGGATCGGAGAAGAGAGGGCTCGTCATACCAAAACTAAAGTCAATTCAACCCAAAATAAAAGTAAGTAAATCCACCTGAAATGAGAACCATATGTTCATAGTAAGTAATGAAAAAAGGCTCGACTGGGGCTTTTCTTGCTATGATGCTAAATATTACATAAATAAATAAGTTTAATCTTATTTTCAGCACAATATTGGATTAATTTTCCTGGCCCGAGTTTGCTGGTCCAACGGGATGTTTCATTTGTGCTTGACTATCACAGTGAGGTCATGGAGGTTATTTTTATCATATTTTATTTTTTCATTTTATTTCATTTCATTGCAATTAATTAAGTTTTTATTTTTTATTTGTTTGGGGTGGGGGAGAGGCCGAGAGAGAGGGAGACAGAGAGAGAATCCCAAGCAGGCCCCACGGCTCAATTAATTTAAAAACAGCTTCATTGAGAAATAATTTGCATACCATACAGTTCACCCATTTAAAGTACCCAGCCCCATGACAGTTTATATTTGCATTATTTTTTCCCCAGAAGTAACTCCCCATCTAGATATTATTTTAGTAACAACACTAGTCGACTAGGTCATTTCTGTAAAAGCATTTTAGAGCTTGCTCAGCTGATGATCAAATAGTTCTCTTCAGATGTGACGTGCGTGTCGTTATTTTTCTCCCTTCCAACTGTCCACCGGACCTAACTCCTTCGGTTCCTTGTTTGTCCCTGGCTTTTCTGCGATTCCTGGAATCTTCTGGCCTCACTGACACGGACTTCATGAAGCCCTGTGTTTTTGGGGGGTGAGATTTGTAGGTCACTTTTCAGTGGGGCTCCGTTACGCTGGCCCCCCTGGGTGTGCAGGAGCCTCAGGGAGAAGTGAGCAGAGAAGACACGGCCCAGTCGGGGGCAGAGATGGGCGTCTGTGTTAGGAGAGAGGGGCTGTCGAGCGCAGCCTCATTTGATAAGTGGTCAGTCTATCCGTGAACATTTGCAGGTTCTGCTGATGTTGTTTACCTGTACATCTCCGTAACTGTGGTCACTGGGATCTGGAATATTCCGATAAGGAGGATCCCCCCGCCCCGGCTGTCGTGTTGCAGGGGAAATGGAAGAGTCCGGCAGAGACTGGGCTTGGTGACTTCCAAAGTTCCGAGCATCAGATGCTGAGTGTTCCCCGAGGGTGTCGGGGCGGCCTGGTCCCGTGTATGTTCATAATAAGAACAGGTCACCATGTGGGCCCCTGAGGTGCGGGCTTGCTTTCCCACAGGGCTGCCAGTGTGAGAAGGAAGAGGTCGGAAGCCATCTCTGACCACACCCCCAGCTGTCGCCACGCCTGAAGCCAGTCTGGCTTCTTGTGCTTCCCTCACCCTTGCACCTTCCTTGGCTCCAGCTCTAGGAGGGAAGCCTGGGGCCGGGGCTGGGAGGGGCAAGGGGGCAAGGAGGCATCAGGAGCAGGGCAGGACAGGTGAGGGAGACAAGTGGCTGGTGGGGGTCGGGGAGACGAATGCCATCCCTCCTGGGGTTGGATTCAATGCCACTGGCATCTTCAAAGGGCTGCACCTATCCCCTGAGGTGAACTGGGCCCAGAACGTCCTCGTGGTTTACCTGAGAAGGTGCTGGGTGCTAAGCTTGGCTCCAGCCCTTGCTGGCCTGTCAGGCACACCACCTCTCTGGATCCTCCCGGCGCCCAGGCCAGGCCAGGCCAGGTCAGGGACCAGTTTCCCCAGGGAGGCCCTAGTCCAGCTGCTCCCCCCTCCCCGGCACTCCAGCTGCCCTGCTGGGCTTTGGGTGTGGACTCTGAGCACCTCTTCCGTGACTGACCTGGAGGGACGCTTGACCCGGGACTCCCTCCTGTCCATCCCACGTGGTAGTCTGAGGACACTGTTGGACCTTTGCAGGCTTCCTGAGAGCCCCATGCCCCAAGCGCAGTCCCCGGAGGAAGGCCAAAGGCCACAGACTGGAGACAAGCTGGCTAATGGTGTCAGCACCGACAAGGTGGCCTGCAACTTGGCCTCTCGCCTCTATCACCTGGAGGGCTTCCGGAAGTCTGAAGTGGCTGCCTACCTGCAGAAGAAGTAAGGGGCTTTGAGCCTGAGCACGGCTGGAGGTTGCGTCAGGAGAGGGAGAGTGGTCAACGGACTCCGTCCACTGGCCGCCCCACTGCTGACCTTCACCCCATCGTTCCTGTCCTGATCCGTCCCCCCCGTCCCCTTGCGGCGCCTTGCCTCTTCCTCGTAGTCCCACTTGTCACCCCTTCTCCACACTCTCGAGCCCTGCCTAGAGCCACCAGACCTGGCCACCTTGTCTCCCCCACCCAGCTCCACGTGTCCTCCCCACTCAGCGGTAGACGGGTGCCCGTGGCAGACCAGACCTAGGCCGCCCCCTTACCCTCTCACCCTCTGGGGATGTGCGCAGGCCCTGGGGCCCCTCCGCATCCGCGGCGCCAGCCCAGACCCCTACCCACCCCCCCACCCCCGCCCCCATGCGGGCTTCATTCCTATTTCCTTTCCGCAGCAATGACTTCAGTAGGGCCGTGGCTGAGGAGTATTTGTCTTTCTTCCAGTTTGGAGGCCAGAGCCTGGATCGAGCCCTCCGGTAAGGCCTCCAGGCCCTCTCTGGGGAGGAGGGATGGCTGGGAGGTGCTACCCCGGTGAGGCCAGACTCTGATCGGCCCCCAGCTCTGGAGCCTGCTGGCTGCCGCAGCCTGGGCTCTGGCCTGGACTCTGGCCCTCCTTCCAGGGACTTCCTCCAGGCCCTGGTGCTCAGCGGGGAGACTCAGGAGCGGGAGCGAATCCTCTACCAGTTCTCCAAACGCTTCCATTACTGCAATCCCGGGGCCTTCTCCTCCGCAGGTAGGGAGGCGTGGGTCCCGAGGGCAGGGCAGGGCATGCTGGGGTGCCTGGGAGAAGGATGGCATGGGAGTGTCCCCCGGGTCTGCTCAGGCGTCCACTGGGTAGCAGCCCGTGGGAGCGTGTTCGGGGGCTGTGGAGAACCAGAAGCACCGAGGGTCACCCTGCCCCGCGTGGGCAGTGGAAAGGCAGGAGTCGTGGTTGTAACGAGCTTCCTCTGTACTCCCCTCCCTCCGGGGCAGATTCCGTTCACACCTTGACCTGTGCCGTCATGCTCCTCAACACGGACCTGCACGGACAGGTGAGGGGCGGGGGAGCTCGAGGCCAGCGGCCTGGGATAGGGTCATAGAAGGGCTCCAGGGGAGGTAGGTCTGGAGGACTGGAGAAGGTTCCAGAGTGGCCGACAGGGGGGTTATTCTCTGCGGGTGGGGAGTGTGTGCCCACTGCCCTACCTCTCGCAATGGCCACAGAACATTGGGAAGAGCATGAGCTACCAGGAATTCATAACCAACCTGAACGGCCTGCGGGACGGCGGGAACTTCCCAAAGGAGCTGCTGAAGGTAAGCCACAGGGGGCTGCCCCCTGGGTTCGTGATGCCGGGGCTCCCTCTGTAGCTCCTTGTCCCCCGGGGGCGGGGGGGTGGGTGATGCTCAGCCTGGGCCTGGCTCTGCTGCCATGCCCTTGGGAGGCCACGGCCCGTTTATGGAAGGTACTAGAGTGTGCGTCCTCGCCGGCAGCAGCACCTTGGAACTTGTTGGCTTGTGTGAATTCGTAGGCCCCCTGCCTTGGACCTACTGAATTAGAATCTCTGGGGCTGGGACCCCCTAAAGTGTTCTCTGAAGTTTCCAGGTGATTCTGAGGCATGGGGAATCTGAGATACACTGGGGTTTTGGGTTCTCGGAACGAACAAAGGGCAAGGTTTTAAGTGGCAGTAAGTCTAAGACTTAGGAGCTGGATATTCTAGGGTTTGAATTCTCGTCTTGGGCAGCTTGCTCGAGTTCGTCCTGGGGTAGCGCCCACTTTACAGTGTGGTGCTCACAATGAAATAAAGGTCGTCGGGGGCCTAGCACGGCGCAGGGCACACAGAATTTCACATGCAATGATGCACTGGTTCTTTTGTCTGTGTGGTGAACATTTCTGGAACTCTCGCTGTGTGCCCGGCACCCTGCGAGGCATTGCCAGGACTACGAAGGCAAGCGAGATGCACGGCCATGAACACCCTTTGTTAGGTCACTTTCTCATTCCTTCACCATCCATTTGTTGCCCCTGTTTGTCAGCTGTCCCTGCTCTCAGATCCCTCTGGGCAGGATGGTACTGGATGATTCATTTCCTTTCCGGGAGAACTAGCTCAGGCCTCCCTAAGCTCAGGTAGGGACTAGGATTGCTTTGCTCATCCTGTCTGCAGCGTCGGGCACGGTGCCTGGCACGTGGTGAGTGCTCCGTAAACGGTCGCATGCACGCACGCACGGGCACGTGGATGCACGCGTGAGCTGCTTCCTGCTCGAGGAGGAAGGGCAGCTGTGCTGGGGGTGGAAGAGGCAGACCGCAGCTTGCCCCTGTCCTACCTCTGCCGGGCAGAGTCTGGGCCCCACAGGCCGAGGCTCCCTGCCCACTGTGTGCTTCTGCTCTAGGCCCTCTACTGGTCTATCCGAAGTGAGAAGCTTGAATGGGCCGTGTAAGTGAGAGTCCCCCTTCCCTCCACTCCCCGCTCCCCTCCCCTGTCTCTGGGCCTGTCCTCCCTCCACCCGCCCACCTGAGAGTTGGAGGGGCCCGGGGGAGGCGGGGGGGCCTGGACAGTGCTCCCCTCTGAGTGGGGTGCAGCCAGAGGCCGGGCCCTGGGTGAGTCTCCAAGAGGGTAGAGGGGTCCAGGTAACACCTGGAGAAGCCAGGGGCCGTGGGGGGTGGGGATGACAGGAATGGATGGGCTGGCTTTGAAGGACTCCTTTGGGGGGTCCTGGGGTACGGCTCCCCAGCGAGAGAGAGAGGGTGGAGGGTGCTGAGGCCGTGGGCACCTCCTGGTGGCCTTTGCCCAGTCAGTACCCCTAGCCTGATTCTCTGATGTCCAGGGATGAAGAAGACGCAGGCAGAGCAGAGAAGGCCCAGGTGTCTTCCCACACCGGCAAGATGAGCAGCCCCTTCCTCCAGCTGGCCCAGAACCCCACAGCGCCCACCTACAAGCAGGGCATCCTGGCTCGGAAGATGCATCACGATGCGGACGGCAAGAAGAGTGAGTGCCTGCTGCCCTGCTGTGTGGAGAGCTTGTGTCTGCCGCCGAACCCACGTGTGTGTGCGTGCGGGCGTGCAGAGTGGCTCGGCACAGGGCCACGGGCTGACGTGTGGGCCGGCGTGCAGAAAGATGGCACGGGTCAAGGACAGGCAGCCTGTGTTCCTTCCTTGATGGTGACCATGTGCTGGGCGCCGGCTAGGACGCCAGGGGGCGGGGGTGCAGAGACAAGACAGACCTAGGTACTCCCTGCCCCCCAGCCCCCCGTGGTAAGGGGGAGGTTAGATGAGCACATCAGTGTCTGGGATAAAAGGTGGACATGGCTGAGGGGTGTAGGGAGGGTGAGATCAAGTATGGGGATGTGGAGGAGGGCTAGGTTTTGGTTTGGTTTGTGGGGGTGAGATGTGGCGGACAGGGATGGGTGAGGCTTCTGGGAAATGATGGTATCTGAGCTGAACCTTGGAGGACAAGAGGCCAGAGGGCATTCCCCTCAGGCAAAGGAGCAGGCAGAGTCTGCTGGGAACAGGGTGTGTGTGACAGAATGGCAGGAGGTGCGTTTGGCCTCACTCCGCAGACAGGTGGAGACTTTAGAGCAGGGCAGCGACAGGACCAGAGCAGTAATGGGATCTTGGATGGATAGGACAGGGTGCGGTGACCGGCCAGGGAACTAGCATTGGGCCGCAAGAAGCCACAGGGCTTGAGCAAGGGTGGGAGGTGACTCCAGGGAAGCCAGCCTTCTTCTGCAAGAGGACCTAAGCCCCTGTGCCTCTCTGGATGGGACCAGAAAGACGTCTGATGAATTCATATCCTACTCCGGTCAGGGCCATGCCTCATCGATCCTCTGCCCTCACATCTGCTTTTGTTGTTGTTTGTGGGGTCCGAGCATGACTGCCTGGGTGTGAGGCGTGGCACCTGCTTGTTCCTGATTGTTTTGTGGTGTTGGTATGTCGCTGAGTGTTTACGGGCACCTGGGGAGGGACTGAGTTGGCGGGGGGAGGGGACCATGTGTGTCTGAGTCTGGTTGGGGTACCAGCACCTCCTGTGTGTTCTGCTCCTGGGGCAGCGCCGTGGGGCAAGCGCGGCTGGAAGATGTTCCACACCTTGCTTCGAGGGATGGTCCTCTACTTCCTGAAGGTAGGAAGGGGGTGCACAGCCCTGACAGGCAGGGTGGGGAACAGGGAAAGGCCCAGAATGGTTCGGACGGTGGGCCCCTGTGGTCACCTCTTTTCTGAGACCCTGTGCCCCATGGCAGGGAGAGGACCACTGCCCCCCTGCAGGGGAGAGTTTGGTGGGACAGATGGTGGACGAGCCCGTGGGGGTGCACCACTCGCTGGCTACGCCGGCCACCCATTACACCAAGAAGCCGCACGTCTTCCAGCTGCGGACTGCCGACTGGCGCCTCTATCTCTTCCAGGCTCCGTAAGTCCCCGGGGGGACGGACCAGCAGCAAGGCCCTGGCTCTCTTGTCCCTGGTCCCTTGCTCACCACTCTCTGATGGCTGCTGGCCGGGGCCCTGGTGGGAGCAGGAGAATGCTGCGGCTGGCAGGGGTCCTAGGGGTCCTGCACCTGCTCCCCTGACCCCACCCACTTTGCCACTGCAGCGCCTCTTCCCTGGTCGAGCCTCCCGCCCCCCCATCAACCCTCCTACTTCCAAACCTAGGATTCCAGGAAGCCTCTAGCAATTGATTTTTTTTTTTTTTTTTTTTTGCCTTTGATCTAAAATCTGTTGCCTTCCTAGATTTTCCTCTTTGACGGATGATAAAAACCACCGGCAGAGGTCAACCACCTCGACTGGTGGCCAGGCTTCTGGCTTTTTGAGGCGCTGGGTCCTGAGAGTCTGGAAGGCTGTGCAGACCACAGGAGGCTGGGGGGAGAGAGGCAGGGCCGACTCTGTCACCTTGGGGTCTGACGGCCTCCTCTGCCCTCAGCACTGCGAAGGAGATGAGTTCCTGGATCGCGCGCATCAACCTGGCGGCCGCCACGCACTCGGCACCGCCCTTCCCGGCCGCGGTGGGCTCCCAGCGCAGATTCGTCCGGCCCATCCTGCCTGTGGGCCCGGCCCAGAGCTCCCTGGTAAGGGGAAGGGGACTGCCCGGGCCCCGGGGACGAGGTGGGAGATGGCTGCGCACCTGGCCTAGGAACCGGGAGGGGGGTGCGGTGCTCACCTGGGCCTGGGAACCAAGGGAGGATGTGTGGGCTGCGCACCTGGGGCCGGAAACGGAGGGGGGTGCAGTGGGACAGCTTCCCCCTCCGCCTCCCGCTCCCAGGAGGAGCAGCATCGATCCCACGAGAACTGCCTGGACGCTGCCTCCGACGACCTGCTGGATCTGCAGAGGAACTTACCCGACCGGCGGGGCCGGAGCCGCGAGCTGGAGGACTACCGCTTGAGGAAGGAGTACCTGGAGTATGAGGTCAGGCTCCTGAGTCTCCGCCCTCCCTGCTCTCTCCCGCCCCCTCGGCCGGGCCCTCTGCCGCCCTCTCGTGGCCGCATCCGGCCTTGCAGCCTTCGTTCCCGGGGCCGCTCAGGGCTGCGGGAGGCCCTGTGCGCGCTCTCGCGTGCAGGGGCTTGCACAAAGTGTGCGTGTCCGTGAGCACTCAGACCCCTTCACTTCTTCTCCTGGGGGTACCTAGAAGCTGCTTGTCTGGAAACACTCACAGGGGACGTTTTATCACTTTCACCTAAGAGTATACTGCATTTGGCTTTACCTAAATTGAAAGGAAAACGGTATTTTAGTTGACTTATTTCCCCTAATACCTACCTAGTACTAATAGGCAGTATTTATGGAGCTTGTCTTACTTGCCTGTATTATCTTGTTTAGTTGTCTAACAACTCTGGGGTAGGGACCGTTATCCTCACTTTACAGATGAGCAAACAGGCAAGGAGAGATTAAAACAGCTTGTCCAAACCTGATGAATTCATATCCTACTCCGGTCAGGGCCGTGCCTCATTTATAATCTTAACTGAGGACCTTTTTAGCCCTCTGATCGATGCCGCACTGTTTTATCCCCTGACCCCCCAGCTGACCCCCTACCCCCTTACACCTTACACCTCTGGTCAGTGCACACGTTCTGGGACCCGAAGCAGGAGGGGTAGGTGAGGGGCAGTATGAGAACAGAGGGAGTCAGAGCCATCCAGAGGTGGAGACCAGAGAAGGGAGCGTCCGTGTCATCCCCGGCTGTGTTTGCGGGGCCTCGTGCTGCCCCCTCCCTGCCTTTGTGGTCCATCCCTTGGCTTGTTAGGTGCATCCTCAGCCGTCGGTACACTGCTTCGCAGGGGCCCTGGGGTGACAGGACCCGCTCTGCCTGCAGAATTCTAGCCTCTCCCTGCCCATGAGCAGCTGCGACCTGTAGCAAGCCCCTGCCCCTCCCTAGACCTCATTCCCCTCCTTATAAAGTGGAGACAATGATTCCTGGGCCACCCAGCCACCCAGGGCTGGGATGAGGATCTGGTGGGGTGGAGGATGAGCATGCACTTAATACACTGGGACCCGTATCCGAAGGCTGCTAGTTACGGAGGCTTTCAGAGCGTTAAACAGATGAAGGTAGTTAGCATCCCGCTCTCCAGATGCCGATTGTTAAAATGCGATTCAGACTCAATTAGGCTTCAGTACAGATGTGAGCTGTTTGTGTGCAGTGGGGCACAGATCAGGCCTAGTGGGTTATGGATATTTTAGTGTCTCGGGGATGTAACATGTTCTGGAGACGTTAGTTACAGCACTACAGGGTGGTGGCTGTTAGAACAGGGCTGGGCTGGTTATAATACTGTCCAGATAACTGCAGGGTTTGGGCACGGATGTGGCTCCTGTGTCCTGCAAAGTCCGCTTGCTCAGGCTCGGTGCGGACGTTGGCTGTTGGTCCAGCCCTCTTTCTGCAGAAATCTTTACCACCAGAGCTGTGTACACGTGGGAGCAGTCTGCCCCTCATGATTCCGGCCTCCTCCCGCCCTGGAGCTGAGGTGGCACTAAGGTGGTGGGGCCCATGTGTTGCAGAAAACCCGCTACGAGACCTACGTGCAGCTTCTAGTGGCCCGTCTGCACTGCCCCTCAGATGACCTGGACCTGTGGGAAGAGCAGCTGGGGAGGGAAGCCGGAGGCACTCAGGAGCCCAAGCCCAGCCTGAAGAAGTCCCACTCCAGCCCATCCCTGCACCAGGAAGAGGCCCCCACCACGGCCAAGGTGAAGCGCAACATCTCAGAGCGCAGAACTTACCGGAAGATCATACCCAAGAGGAACCGCAATCAGCTCTGAAGCTGGCACCACCACAAGGACTCTGGCCCCGTGTTCGGGCGGGGAACCTGAGATGAGACCCCATGGAGGAGCCTTGTTTCAGGGTCCGTGTTGGGGCATGAGGCCCTCCCCTTGCCCGCCGAAGGACAGGCCCTGTTTCTCTGCAGTCCTCACTGGAGCTCTCCTAATACGGCTGTGCCCACCCCCACGGCAGCCCCAGCTGCCCCAGTCCCTGCTCACTCCCAAGGGAGGACAGAGGTCAAGGGATTGGCTGCACTCCCATGTCACCCTCCCCCCTTCCACAATCCAGAGTGGCCACATTTCTTGGGCCTGGGGGCAGCTCGGCGCTTATTTGAGAATCAGAGCAGCCGCGGGCCCTGAGCTTCCAAAAGGGAGGCTGGGGCAATGGAAGCCTCTGGGCAGTCAAGCCAGGGGAGCCACAGCCCTGAGGATGGTCTTGCTCTGGGAGTCAGGTGACCTGCGGTGAGAGGTCCTGGGAGACCCCAGCCAGCCTCAGGTGACTGGGAGACCAGGGTGGCTCGGCCCCGCCCCCTGACAGGTAGGCCTTCAGGGGGCCTTCGAGGACAAACTCAGTGAGGCTGACTCTGGGGCCCTGGGCCTTTGTGTCCTTTCTCCCTACAATCATCCACACACCCGGGGCAGATGAGAGAGGCCCCACCTCACACACCCAATTGCTAATCATCAGAGCAGAGCCCTTGGTGGTCAGTGAGGGCCAGAAGGGGTTGGGGCCTCCAGAGCTCCGTGCAGAGCCCTGGGAACAAGGGGCCTTTGTTTCCCCAGAGCAGGGAAGGAGGTCCTCCGGGTTCAGACCCCTGGGAGAGGCCGAGAGGCAAGAGGCCGTGATACATCCCCTGGGGTCTCTCTTGGAAGGAGCTGGTCTGAGAGCTGGGAGGGCCAGGTAGAAGGCTGGCTCCCTCCCACACACCCCATCCCATAAAGTTGCATTCCCAAGGAGGGGCACCAGGGCACCTTCCAGACCCCTCTTTCTCCCCGCCAGCTCTCAGGGGGCTTTGCTGCCTTTCCTCGGCAGTCCCCCTGTGCTGCCCTCTGGCTGCCTCCCAGCTGGGCTCTGGGGGAGGTTCCGGACACTCAGGGACCTCAGGCTCTGCCTGTGGGAAGGAGGCTGGGTTGGCGAAGCAGCCACCATTGTCTCTGTTCAGCCAAGTGTGCGAGCAGGCTGCCCGCCAAGAGGGCCTCTGCTGCCTGTCTGCGGCCTGCTGGCTGGCGCACTGCTCTCCCGCCTTCCTGCCGGGGCCCCTCTCCTCCCATCTGTGCTGGAAACCAGCCCTGGGGTCTGGAACGCCACCAAGTGGGGCTGGCCCTTGGGGACCACAAGGGGTGTCTGGCCAGGGCTCAGGGCCGGGCCGGGTACCCAGTGGGTGCCCAATACATGCAGGCCAGTGAAGAAGGAGGTGCGCACGAATGTGTCAGGAAGGGAGGGTCAGGCAGATGTGCGCAGCTGGAGCCACCTGCAGGGGGCCAGGCTGGGTCTCCCTTCGCCCGGGCGCGTCTGTGCCTATGCGGGTCTGTGTGCCTGTATACGGGTGTGTGTGTGTGTGTGTGTGTGTGTGTGTGTGTGTGTGTGTGGGTGTGGAGCACTGCGCTTGCAGGCTGTCAGAGCCTTGGGGGGCCTCAATCATTTGTTCATCCACTCATTTGTTCATTCATTCATTTCACAAATAATATTGACCACTTTTTATGGGCCAGGACGAGGGCATTCCAGAATGACTGAAACACGTCTCTGGCCCCCCGGCGGTAGCAGTCCTGTTCTCTGGTTCCTTGCTGTCACATAGAGGTGCACTTCATCTTGCGGGGGAGGCCTGCTGAAGACACATTCCCACCCTCTGCTCAAGGATTCGGATTCAGTAGATGTGGGTCAGGGGCACGGATAGATATTTTTAAAGCAGCTTGGGTCACTGATGTGCAGTTAATAGGTGAGAACTAGCAACAAGTAGATGTGACTTGTCCCAGGACCGACGCAAGCTTGGCCTTGAGTGGGTTATTTGACCTCACTGAACATGTACCCATATTCCTAAAACCAGAATAAAAGGTGAAGGTTTGTCCGCATTTGTGCACGTGTGTGGCACTTCGATGCTGCTTTGCTCGTGTGGAATGGCACCTGTCTTTCACCTGGGCACCTGAAGCCTCCCGAGAGATCCGGCCTTCAGGGCGCCACCACCTGGCACAGCTCGCAGACTGCGTGGTTAGGCTGCAGTTGTGACGTGTGACCGCTGGGGGGCGGGCTTGTATCTTTCAAGTTTGTGGGGCCCGGGTGTCCAGCTGCAGAGCTCCGCTCCCTGAAGGAGAGGAAGTTAAGTCTGTTTGTCCCCAACCATCAGCAGAACCAGGACCTTCCACTTCCCTAAACCCACAATGGTCCAGGTCAGGCCTCCCACCTTCTGGAGAAGTCAGCCTTGCAAACGGTTCCGACTCTTGACATCTTCCTGCAGATGGACAGGAAAACAAAGGTTTTCCGGAGCCATATGGGGGCAGCCTAGAGTTCCCCAAAGAATTGTCCCCACAAAAGTGAAAAGTGAGTGAGCTCCCAGTCCCAGTCCTGAGGTGTGGGGCAGATCTGACCCACAGGCCTCCGTCTGACCTTGTGTCCACCCTCGCTTCCTTTCCCATCTGGGAAGTGGGTTGGGGCATCTCTTTGCAGACATGGGACAGGCACAGGTTCTTGGTGATGAGCTCAGGCCCTGTAAGGCTGGCTGAAGTTTGTCTTTGGTTCCTTCATTCCCTTCTAGGGGGGCTCAGCCTCCAGGGCCCTGGGCCCGCCATGACCCAGGTGATACCCCAAATGTAACCTCTTCCTGGTCTCTCGGCATCTCCGTTTTGTGTGGCTGTCTGCTGATAACATTCATTTGTTGGTTGTTTGCCAGGCGCCAGAAAAGAGTAAAAGGCCGCTGAGGCCCAGGGCTTGGGTCCTTTCCTTTTGGGGGTCAGAGTCCAATGGCGACAACAGGTGGGCTGTATTGGAAGGAGCTGGGCTGCAGGGCTGGGGTGGGGGTGGGCAAGGGAAACGTGGTGCAGCAGTAAGGTGGAGGGGCAGGTCACACAGGACCTCGCCTGCCACCCAGTGGGCTGTACCAGCCGGAGAGGCACAAGCTCGTGGCTTGGGAGGCAGCCAGCCTGGGAGTCCCGCTTTAAGAAATGACTTGAGTGAATAAGGCCAATAGGTAGAGTCAGAATAAGGCCTGGAGACCCTCTGTACTACCTGTGCAACTTTTCTGTAAGTCTAAGATACAAAAATGAAAACGGGGGGAAAAGCCAATGGCCTGGAAACTTAGGACAACCTGGCAATCCCCCTTCCGGCCCTTCTCCCTCCCTTACCGCCCCCCCACGCGCATGCCGGCACATATTCGCACATACTTATGGCTTTCCTGAATGCCACACTCTCCGCCGGGGCTCCCCCCCACTGCCCCTCTGCCAGCTTTCCTGGCTGTCTCTGTCCCCTTGCCGTCTAACCATGGCTCACACTTTCACCTGTCCCTTCCTCCTCCCTTCACTAGAAGAAGAGGTGCTCACTGCATTCCTGGGACTGACCTCCTCCCCGAGACCACACACCACGCCTGCTTCTCCTGCCTACCATGACCGCTCTCCCTTGGCGGTCCCATCTGAGTCTTTGGGCCTATTTTCTACCCCCTTCCTTATCCCTTGCAAACAACTTCCAGTATATCGCCCTCGCGAGGAAAAAGGAACAGAAAAACCTGCATTTGACTCTTCACATGCTGTGGCTGAGACCCACAGATGTGTGGTCTTTGCCAGCTGTTTCTCTCCCGTTCACACCTGGCTCCCGCTCACACCTGGCTCCCGCTCACACCTGGCTCCCACTCACACCTGGCTCCCATTCACACCTTGCAAACTGGCTTCTGCTCTACCCTTCCCTGAAATGGGGACACACCAGAAGGGCCACTGATGACCCTTAATCCTCAAATCCAATGTCTTCTCAGCCTTCATGCCCCTCACCTCTCAGTGACCTTTGACCCAGAGACCTGCCTGGCCCTGCACAAGGCCCAGCGCGATCTGGTCTCAGCAGCCGGGACCGGGAGTCGGACTGCCTGGTATCGAGTCCCAGCAGTCCCTTTCCTAGCTGACTGCAGGCCAGTTACCTAGCCTCTTGTACTTCGGTTTGCTTCTTTATCAAATGGGGATAATAATGCTATTTACCTCACAGGGTCTTTGTGAAGAATAAGTAAAATTATGCACGTAAACATCTCAGAACAATGCCTGGCACCAAAGGAAAGCCTAGCAAGTTAGCTATTAGTTCACGGCCTTGCTGGCCTTACCCCATGCACGCTACCCTCCTTGGGGCCCAGCTTAGGTTCTGCGAATGCAACCAAGGCCTTGGCTTTCCTTCTTCCTGGAAGGTGCAAGTAACAAATCTGAACTCAAATAGGCTTTAGCAAAAAAAATAATAGGGGGGGGGGGCCATTTCATCGCTCCCATAATGGGACAGTCTATATCCAGGTCAGGTAAGGCTTGAACTAGGGCTCTGCACTGCGCTTACCCCCTTCTGTTCTTCTGGGCTCCATCTCCCAGGCTAGGAGGCAGGAGCAGCCCTCATGGTCCCAAGATGGCCCCCGTAGCTACCAAATCGCCCTCTTCTGGGTGCCAGTCTAGCCCATAGAGACCATCTGCTTCTTTCCAGGAATAGAGTCTCTCTGAGCTGCCCACTTTGAGCCATGTGCCCCCCTTTGAGCCAACCACTAGGGTCAGGGGCTTAGGGTAGTCAGAGTCCACCTTCTGAGATGGGGGTGGTGGTGGGACAATATCACGCAAAAGATGGGGACTGGGACCAGCTGCGGAGAAATTCTGAGTCCTACTAGTACCAGGAAGGGGAGGAAACCAACTGTATCTGGATGCTGTCTCCTCCAGGAAGCCTTCCTTGAGCCCTGCTCCCCCAGTTAAGTCTGTAACTTTCTACATCCCTCGCTTCCCCTGCTCTCCCCTCATTCACTTCCCTCTTCTCTCTGTCTCTGCTCCCAGTAGAACGTACGCTTCCCAAGGGTAGGAGCTGGGCAAGTTGGTTTCCGTCGCTCAGGGCCCCACACCTGCAGTCTACAAGTGTAGCTCTCAAAACTGTTATCCCCCCTGGGCTTCTGGCCTCCATGTTCTCCTGGTTCTTCCCCCTTCTTACACGGTCTCTTTCTGTCTTTCCTCTGCTTGCTCCTCCTACCCCTGAACTCAGCCTTCCCCCCAGGTGCGGCTTTTGGAGGCCTTCAGGATAGCTTCCGGGAAAGCCTCCTGATGTAAAGAAACCTCCAGCTCTGGTCTCCGTGCTGGATTTCAGTCCCGGAGTTCTAAATGGGCAGGACGTGGCCCTCAATAATCTTCCTGGAGGGGGTAAGTTTCTGTACAGATGTTACTTATTACACGTAAGACTGGATTTAGTGTCGTCCCCCTAAACCTGTCCCCTTCTGACTCCCCTGTTTCCATTAATGATTCTCTGATGGTTCTGTGACAGTGGATTTGAGAGGCAACACACCAGGATTATGAGGATATTTGAGCCAAATGGGCCTTTGCCTCACCTTTGGCGTCAGGCGGAAGCTTCTGGTTTTCTGACGTCTTTGTCTCCGTTGGTGTGACACGGACAGGGTCTGGAGGAGGTACATGGACAGAAAAGCGATGACTCTCTCAGTCCGGTAAGGGACCGTGAAACCCTTCCACCTGGCCACCAGCACGAGGCTCAAGGCCTATCTACAGCTCAACGGCGGCCACTCAGGACCACTCACTGTATTGTCTGTGATCCTCATGCTTCAGTTCTTATTTGTATTTTCCTAATCTATTGCATGCATTTCCTGTGAGCTGTCTCAAATCCTCTCTGGAACAAGGTGGGGAATACATTAATATTTAAAATAAAATAAACAAAATGTCAGTGTGTGTGTGTCTTAGGTTGGAAATTCCTTAAGGGCAGGGACCATGTCTGTTTATAAGCACCTGGCACAGTGTCAAACTGAAGCTTAACAAATGAATTTTGATGAAGAGGGAGAAAGAAGCTGCCTGCAGGAAGATACAGAGACTTAGACTTCACCCTCCAGCTACCCCTCAGCCAAAGCCCCTTTGGCAAGGGGTGCCCTTCCTCACTCTGTTCCTGACCTTCCAGGTTCCCTCCCGTCATCCCTGCCCTGTGCGCACTCCTCATAACGAACCCTGTCCTCACCCAGACCCTGCTGTCTTACAGATGCTCCCCTTCCTCACACAAACAAACGCAGCCCCAGACGCGCCTCACTCAGGGCTTCACCCCGAAACACCCAGCCCCCCCTTCACCCTCTGCCCCAGCCCCACAGGCTCAGCCAAGGCTGGGCAGCCTCGCATGGTGCTAGGGACCGCCACCGGCTGAGCGGGTGGAGGTGCTGTCCCCACTCGTGCCTTGGCCCCGTGGGGGCCTCCAGCCAGGCGGGGACGTGGCAGAGGGAGGGAGAGGGTAAGCTGCTTCAAAACTCCAGATGCAGCAGTTAAAAAGAGGACAGAGGCAATGATCCTTCAAATTGCCACATCTGTATAATCTGCCTTTTATTTTCTGCTTCATGAAGTTTTATTTCCTATTATTTATTCACCTCCCCGCCCTCCCCTCCCCCGCCTCCGCTCCTCCTTAGCAGGCGACATGCTCAGATGGGCCCTGAGCCTTGGCCTGGGTCTCAGCCCACCCCCACCCAACCCCCACCCTGGGCCGGCTGCTGAGAGAAGGCACCTGCTCCCCCTTCTAGGACGCCCCCCCCATCGCTGTGCTACAGCCCCTATGGGCCCCTCCCTCCGCCCTCCAAGTGGGGCTTGGCTGCAATGTGCTTGGGGGAAGGGATATCGGGGAGGTGAGGCCTGTCCCCCAAGACTGCTATCGCTGTCACCACCACTTAGCAGGAGCTTATGGGAAAGAAGAACCCAAGGACCCAGAACTCACAGCGGGTGGAGTCTCTGTCCCCATGTACCCTCTCCCCGCTCTCCTGTGTCCATCTCCCACCCTCCACACCTCTCCCTCCTCCCTTCCCTTCTGCTCCTCCTGGGCCCCAGCCTGCTGAGCTGGGGAGGGGCAGGTATTGAGATGGGACGAAGGGGGACCAGCCAAG